CTCTTCCAAAGTTTTCCTAGGTCTTCCTCTACCCCTTCGGCCCTGAACCTCTATCCCGTAGTCACATTTTCGAACCAGAGCGTCAATAGGCCTTCTTTGCACATGTCCAAACCACCGGAACCGATTTTCTCTCATATTTCCTTCAATTTTGGCTACTCCTACTTTACCTCGGATATCCTCATTCCCAATCTTATCCTTTCTCGTGTGCCCATACATCCCACGAAGCATCCTCATCTCCGCTACACCCATTTTGTGTACGTGTTGATGCTTCACCGCCCAACATTCTGTGCCATACAACATCGCTGGCCTTATTGTCGTCCGATAAAATTTTCCCTTGAGCTTCAGTGGCCTACGACGGTCACACAACACGCCGGATGCACTCTTACACTTCATCCATCCAGCTTGTATTCTATGGTTGAGATCTCCATCTAATTCTCCGTTCTCTTGCAAGATAGATCCTAGGTAGCGAAAACGGTCACTTTTTGTGATCTTCGCTAGATTGCTCCGGTCATTAGTGTGGATAAGTATAAATGGAAGGAGATAGGAAAGCAAACACAAGATGTACGTGGTTCACCCAGATTGGCTACGCCCACGGAATAGAGAAGTTCTCATTAATTGTGAAGGGTTTACACAAGTACATAGGTTCAAGCTCTCCTTTAGTGAGTACAAGTGAATGATTTAGTACAAATGACATTAGGAAATATTGTGGGAGAATGATCTCGTAACCACGAAACTTCTAAGTACCGGAGTGTGGTATCGTCTTGACTTGCCTTATCTGTCTCAAAGGTAGATGTGGCATCTTCTCTGGAAGTACTCTTCCTCCATCCAAGGGTGGTATCTGTAACTGGTGGAGATGCACAAGGTAATGTATCAATTTCACTTGAAGCTTACTTGTAGTTTCAGGCTTGGTCAAGCGCGATACAAACCATGTAGTAGGAGTCCCCCAAGTCGCCGAGCTAGGGGATCTGCTGAAAGAGGTGACAGACAAGGTAAGCAATCAGAGCTCTAGCTGATTGTTCACATTCTCCCTATCTTGCAGGCAGCATGAAGGTTAAAGAGAAGAAAAATGAGAAGAGATGATATGGGATACTTTTGCTTTTGAAGAAGTAACTTTCCACAGGCTTATTCTTGAACTGGGCTGGAGGGTTTTCTGGTTTCTTCCAGAGTATAAGGCCGACTGAAGAATTTGAGGGTCAAAACAAGTCCATCAAATCTAGAGTACGTTCGACCCTGCTGATATGGGATACTTTTACTTTTGACAGAGTAGTGGATGTATCGGCACGTGTGCTGTTACGCTTGTCTCCACATGCTTCCTTGTATCCTTCTCACTTGCCCTATCTGTTCCTCAGGCAGATGCGGTATCTTCCCTGGCTGGAAGCTTGATTCTAAGTGCTGACTGATTGCTCTCTTTCTCCTTGTCTTGCAGGTAAGAACAAGGCCAAAGGAAAAGACAGGGAAAAAGCGTGATATGGGATACTCTTGCTTTTAACCCTGATGATATGAGATATTCTTGCTCTAGTATAGCTTGTTTACAGAGGTGTTATCGGGGGAAAATAAAGCTGAATATTTCGAAAGGCTTCGTTGGGAGTGCCCTCTCAGATAAGAGGAAGGGTTGAGCATTTTTGCAGGTCTGCCTGTCCGTTGGGGATGGAGGTCGACATATATAGGAGTCTCCCTAACATCAAGTAATAATGTTATTCCTTTACCCTGCTTGGTCATAGCACGGTAGTGGGAGCTGCCAGCTTCACATGTTTTAACTTTGTCAGAGCACTTTGAAAAAGTGGTCTGTGGTATCTGGAAAGCTGATGTTGCGTGTGAAGATTACAGACAAGCTTTATCCAAGGAGATCCAGCTCTTGAAGTTGGGAAAGTGGTGCCTCTTCGGTTTTCGAACAAGCAATCTTGTCGGGGATCTGGCTCTCGAGATTCGGAGAACGATGCCTCTTCGATTTTTGAGAAAGCAATCCTGTTGGGGGTCTGGCTCTCGAGATTCGGAGAGCGGTGTCTCTTCGATTTTTAAGAAAGTAATCATGTTGGGAGTCTGGCTCTCGAGATTCGGAGGGCGGTGCCTCTTCGATTTTGGAGCAAGCAATCTTGTTGGGAGTGTTTTCTCAAATGTGAGTAAAGGTTGGGCATGTTTGCTAGTCTACCTTGCCACGAAGCCCAGAGGTTGACACACAGGGCCTTTCCAGTTACCCAGCAGTGGTACTGTTCCTTTACCCTCTCTTCGATTTTTGAGAAAGTAATCATGTTGGGAGTCTGGCTCTCAAGATTTGGGGGGCGGTGCCTCTTCGATTTTGGGCAAGCAATCTTGTTGGGAGTTTTCTCGAATGTGAGTAAAGGTTGGGCATGTTTGCTAGTCTACCTTGCCACGAAGCACAGAGGTTGACACACAGGGACTTTCCAATTATCCAGCAGTGGTACTGTTCCTTTACCCTCTCTTCGATTTTTGAGAAAGTAATCATGTTGGGAGTCTAGCTCTCAAGATTCGGAGGGCGGTGCCTCTTCGATTTTGGAGCAAGCAATCTTGTTGGGAGTGTTTGCTCGAATGTGAGTAAAGGTTGGGCATGTTTGCTAGTCTACCTTGCCACGAAACACAGAGGTTGACACACCGGGACTTTCCAATTATCCAGCAGTGGTACTGTTCCTTTACCCTTGTGGGTAATAATATGGTAGCTAGACCTTCAAAATTTATGTGTCTAAACTTTGTTAGTGTTGTTTCTTTGCTATTCTTTTACCCTTCTTGGTCAGAGCGATGTAGTGGGAGCTGCAAGCTTCACGTGTCTCAACTTTGTCAGAGAACTTTGGCAAAGTTATCTGTGGTACCCATGAGTTACTGTTGCGTGTGGGAAGTGGGTGATTGAACAGTACGATTCATGTGCTTTCTACTTCGCCAGAAATCTTCAACAGAATGCCCATAATTTCCGCAAAACTGAGTGTGCGTGTGACAGGTGCTGACAAGGTTGGAAAGGTAGGTGCCTCTTCGATTTCTGAGATCGGCCCTCGTGGTCTCTGAGCAGCCCAGCTTTTGAGAAAGCAAGCCTCTTTGATTTCTGAGATCGGCCTTCGTGGTCTTTAAGCAGCCTAGCCTTTGAGAAAGCAAACGCCTCTTCGATTTCTGAGATCGACCCTCGTGGTCTCTGAGCAGCCCAGCTTTTGAGAAAGCAAACTCCTCTTCGATTTCTGAGCAAACGCCTCTTCGATTTCTGAAGCTTCGTCGAGTGCAGATTTTTATAGGGGCTGACATTAAGTTCCAAAGCACACTTGAATATCCACCAGTAGAAGCTCCATTCTTGCATTTCTAAGATCTTGATTTGTCCGACCTCTTCTCTCTTCAACACCTTGGAAAATGTCTGGCCCCTCTGACCGTCGTTTTGACTTGAACCTTGTTGAAGAGGCAGCCCTGCCTTCTCCAGACAACATATGGCGCCCATCCTTCGTCTCCCCTACTGGTCCTCTTACCGTTGGGGATTCCGTGATGAAGAATGATATGACCGCTGCGGTAGTGGCCAGGAACCTTCTCACTCCCAAAGATAACAGACTACTTTCCAAACGGTCTGATGAGTTGGCTATTAAGGATTCTCTGGCTCTCAGTGTTCAGTGTGCAGGTTCTGTGTCTAATATGGCCCAACGCCTATTTGCTCGAACCCGCCAAGTTGAATCATTGGCGGCTGAAGTGATGAGTCTCAAACAGGAGATTAGAGGGCTCAAGCATGAGAATAAACAGTTGCACCGGCTCGCACATGACTATGCTACAAACATGAAGAGGAAGCTTGACCAGATGAAGGAATCTGATGGTCAGGTTTTACTTGATCATCAGAGATTTGTGGGTTTGTTCTAAAGGCATTTATTGCCTTCGTCTTCTGGGGCTGTACCGTGTAATGAAGCTCCAAATGATCAACCTCTGATGCCTCCTCCTTCTAGGGTTCTGTCCAGTACTGAGGCTCCGAATGATCCCCCTCCGGTGCCTTCTCTTTCTGGGGCTCTACCGACTACTGAGACTTCTCCTAAGCAACCTTTGTGAATGCTCCCTCTTGTTTGTTTATTTTGACTCAAGTATATGTACATATTTGTAACTTATCAGGGATATCAATAAATAAGATTTCCTTCATTTCAACGTATTGTGTTAAATACACCAAAGCCTTCTTCGCTAAGTTCTTTGAATTTTCTTTTGTTGAAGCTTGTATGTTGAAGCTTTATGAGTGGAGCATGTAGGTTGAGGTAGTGTTCCCTTAATTTCCCGAGTGAGGAAAACTTCTCGGTTGGAGACTTGGAAAATCCAAGTCAATGAGTGGGATCGACTATATGAATCTTAGAACGCCATTGTGTTCTGTCCTGTGTCATGTCCTCCGTTAGATCCAAGTACTCTAAGTCTTTTCTTAGGGTCTCTTCCAAAGTTTTCCTAGGTCTTCCTCTACCCCTTCGGCCCAGAATCTATGTCCCATAGTCGCATCTTCTAATCGGAGCGTCAGTAGGCCTTTTTTGCACATGTCCAAACCACCGTAACCGATTTTCTCTCATCTTTCCTTCAATTTCGGCTACTCCTACTTTACCCCGGATATCCTCATTCCTAATCTTATCCTTTCTCGTGTGCCCACACATCCAACGAAACATCCTCATCTCCGCTAACTAGCTAAAATATTTCCACAAGTAAACAAAATTATCAATTATAAACATATGAAAAGTCTCCAAAATCTAAAGTCTTTGAACTGAACACTATTTCTAGAACTAAATACTACTATTACTTTTAGAATTGAACACTGACTATTTCTAGAATTGAGCAATAGCACTAACTATTTCCAAAACGTAACATTGACTATTTTTAAAACTCAAAATTGATTGTTTCTAGAATTGAACACTGATTAGTTTTAGTACTGAACACTGATTATTTCTAGAATTGAACATTGGCTATTTTTTGAACTAAACACTAGTACCATATTATTTCGTAAACTGAACATTGATTATTTCTAGAACTGAACACAGATACTATCACTATTTTTGAATTGAACAATAATACTATCATTGTTTCTTAAATTGAACACTAGTACTATCACTATTTTTTAAATGAATACATACTATTTCTTAACTGAACACTAGTACTATTACTATTTTTTAAACTGAACACAGGTACTATTACTGTGCCTTGAACTTGTTTATCTCAGAGCTTGTAACATGAAAACCGACCAACGCATCCACACGCCACTTTCACCCTTGTAAGATGAAAACACGAGGAATATTAGCCTTATGCAACAACATTACAATGAGTAAAGTGGATTGTCAGCATAACAGGCACAAAGTTGTCCACAGTAACGGAACAAGCTTATGTTCCAAAGGGGACTGAAAGCATCCAGGAACTTGAATAAAGCACCTAGCCTCGCTGGAATGGCAAACTCGCAAAGGATCTCATTTTCGAAACAGGATGATCGACCTCCCACCTGAAGCATATAACCGGAAACTTATGGGATCAAAATCTTAACTGTGAACCATTTTGGGGAAGCAAATAAAGGAAACAAAATATGGACTTGTCATTTCTTAAATCTCATGTTACATATATGTTTAGAAGCATATATCACACCATTTCATGGCACCCGAGTTGATAGATAGAAGAAAGAAAAAACAACGGTTTGTTGGGGTATTAATTAGGTTAAAACAGAAGTTCGAACATGACAGAGTGAACCAACAAGCCTCAACATGTCATTACACATCAATTTTTGTTACTGTTTCTGCATCGATTCCCCGTACTCAGACAAATACGCATTTTTTGTTCTACTACCGAATAGCCCTAATTAACACCCAGAGCCCCCAAATCTCCATAAAAAAGATCAGTAACTTCAAATGAGTAATTGATTAACAACAAAGCAGAACAAGAATGACTGATTTGAAATTAGAGAAGAAAAAGGGAACCGGAAAATTGAATAGGAATATCGAATTGGGAGATTTAACTGCAATCAGGAGATGATCGAGGGAGCTCTTGATCGACTGGAACTGAGCAAGATAGTTCGCCATGTTCGACCTCGATCTTCGCCAGACGTATGCAATTGTTCATGATCCATATAGAGAGACAAAGAGACCTATACATACATGTATAGAGAGCTGAGCGAGATGGAGGTTGTAATTATGTGGGTTTGCTCTCACTGTGTAATGGAAGAATTGGAAACTCATTAATTGGGCATTTTTTTGTTTTTTACTGTTTTGATGTTGGATTTCTTCTATCCATTAAATAAAGTTATTAAAATACTTTTGATTTAAGGTTTAAAGTTTGAAATCCTTTTCTTTTCTTTTTTTTTTTTGAAAAAGGTAAAGTCAATTACCAATAAAGAGCTTACATAAACACAGGCCCAGAAACATATAAAACACAAGACAAAAGATGGGCCTCCAAAACAACAACCACAAAAGCCCAACCCGTGGGTTAAGCCGACAACAGAAAACACAGAACAAACCCTAGCTGCCAAGTTCTCTTGCCGCCGCCGAAGCACTTCCCGACGACCACAAACCAGCCTCCTTGCAACCGCCAGAGAAGAAACCAAACCAAGCCCCAAACACAAACGGAGAAGTTGTCCTGGTCCTCAATTAAACCCCACAAGGAACCAATTTGCCACCACCAAGGGAAGAAACCCGAGAAGGAAACCAGTGAGACCACTGGCAACAGTGTCGAGATCAACACACAAGTGGAAGGTGGTGGTGTGAACACCCGAGCCAGAGCTCTACGCACCTTCCGATAAAGCAGTGAACAACGGTTGAACAAAGTAGTGGTAGATCGGATCATAGGTGGAATCGAGAGAGGGCTAAGCCAAGTGGGAGGGGAAGACGAAGAAGCAAGTGGACGCATGGAGGGGGAAAGACAGTGGATGGAAGGATAAAAAGGAAATAAAAAAAAAAGGTTTGCCGATTGGGGCCTAGCATAGCTAAAATTGGGGCACAAGGACCGGGAAACAGAGAAACAGCAGGAGGAAGGGCAGGTGAGAAGGGAAAGGGGCTGCCACCAACCTTGGCCAAAGCTAAGGTCGGCGGCTAAACGAGGTGCCGGAGTGGGAACCACTCAAACGAAGTTGAGAAAACCTCTCACATGGAGAGAAGGGCTCTCACCAAACGGGAGAGAATTAGATGCTTCACAAAAATACAATTTTGAAATCCTTTTCTTTGGTTTTTCTTTCTTCATATGTGTTGATGCATTTTTGGTTCATCATGCATGGCATAACAAAGTGACCTGTAAAAATGCAATTTAAAATTCGTTGGTGGTGTATAGTAGGCCTGGCAAATTGGTCGTGTCTATCGTGTTCGTGTCGTTTTCGTATAACACCTGTTATCTTAATGGGTCGTGTCATGTCACACCTGTTATCTTAACGGGTCCTTAACAGGTCAGGTAACTTTATCCACCCGACCCGTTATGACCCGTTAAGAAAAATATATATTTTTCTTAAATTTGCACATACCACACATTACCACATAAATATTACTTCAAAACATTAAAACAGATTTTTCATTTAAGTACTACATCTACACTCGAAAATAAGAGCCTAATAAAAAACAAGTTTGACGGTTGGATCGTTAAAATTAGTTTCATAGAATTCGTATCCCATTAAAACAATAGATTCACTAACACTTAGAGTTTATTTATACTTTCATTAAGTATAACATAAGATTTTGTGATATCCACTTGTGTAAATATTTTAAATTTGTATTCGTATAGGGTCAAGGAGTGTAATTGTAAAAAATCATCAAAATCAGAGTTAAAATAACCGTTAAATCGTGATTTTTTGTTTTATAACCGTCGAAAAGCTTTGTCTCATTACTTGATCTCTGAATGTTTGTTTGTTGTGATTTTTGGCGTATGCGATCTCAAAGCATATACAAACAAGTTTGACGGTTGGATCGTTAAAATTAGTTTCATTGAATTCGTATCCCATCAAAACGATAGATTCACTAACACTTAGAGTTTATTTATACTTTCATTAAGTATAACATAAGATTTTGTGGTATCCACTTGTGTAAATAATTTAAATTGACGATCAAATTCATTCATTGTATTCGTATAGGGTCAAGGAATGTAGTTGTAAAAAATCATCAAAATCGGAATTAAAATAACCGTTAAATCATGATTTTTTGTTTTATAACCGTCAAAAAGTTTTGTCTCATTACTTGATCTCTTAATGTTTGTTTTTTGTGATTTTTGGCTTATGCGATCTCGAAGCATATACAAACAAGTTTGACGGTTGGATTGCTAAAATTAGTTTCATAGAATTCGTATCCCATCAAAACAATAGATACACTAACAGTTGGAGTTTATTTATACTTTCATTAAGTATAACATAAGATTTTGTGGTATCCAATTGTGTAAATATTTTAAATTGACGATCAAATTCATTCATTGTATTCGTATAGGGTCAAGGAGTGTAGTTGTAAAAAATCATCAAAATCGGAGTTAAAATAACCGTTAAATCATGATTTTTTGTTTTATAACCGTCGAAAAGTTTTGTTTTGTTACTTGATCTCTGAATGTTTTTTTTTTGTGATTTTTTGCGTATGCGATCTCGAAGCATATACAAACAAGTTTGACGGTTGGATCGTTAAAATTAGGTTCATAGAATTCGTATCCCATCAAAACTATAGATTCACTAACACTTAGAGTTTATTTATACTTTCATTAAGTATAACATAAGATTTTGTGGTATCCACTTGTGTAAATATTTTAAATTGACGATCAAATTCATTCATTGTATTCGTATAGAGTCAAGGAGTGTAGTTGTAAAACATCATCAAAATCGGAGTTAAAATAACCGTTAAATCGTGATTTTTTGTTTTATAACCGTCGAAAAGTTTTGTCTCATTACTTGATCTATAAATGTTTGTTTTTTGTGATTTTTTCCGTATGCGATCTCGAAGCATATACAAACAAGTTTGACAGTTGGATCATTAAAATTAGTTTCATAGAATTCATATCCCATTAAAGCTATAGATTCACTAACACTTGGAGTTTATATATACTTTCATTAAGTATAACATAAGATTTTGTGATATCCACTTGTGTAAATATTTTAAATTTGTATTCGTATAGGGTCAAGGAGTGTAATTGTAAAAAATCATCAAAATCAGAGTTAAAATAACCGTTAAATCGTGATTTTTTGTTTTATAACCGTCGAAAAGCTTTGTCTCATTACTTGATCTCTGAATGTTTGTTTGTTGTGATTTTTGGCGTATGCGATCTCAAAGCATATACAAACAAGTTTGACGGTTGGATCGTTAAAATTAGTTTCATTGAATTCGTATCCCATCAAAACGATAGATTCACTAACACTTAGAGTTTATTTATACTTTCATTAAGTATAACATAAGATTTTGTGGTATCCACTTGTGTAAATAATTTAAATTGACGATCAAATTCATTCATTGTATTCGTATAGGGTCAAGGAGTGTAGTTGTAAAAAATCATCAAAATCGGAATTAAAATAACCGTTAAATCATGATTTTTTGTTTTATAACCGTCAAAAAGTTTTGTCTCATTACTTGATCTCTTAATGTTTGTTTTTTGTGATTTTTGGCTTATGCGATCTCGAAGCATATACAAACAAGTTTGACGGTTGGATCGCTAAAATTAGTTTCATAGAATTCGTATCCCATCAAAACAATAGATTCACTAACAGTTAGAGTTTATTTATACTTTCATTAAGTATAACATAAGATTTTGTGGTATCCAATTGTGTAAATATTTTAAATTGACGATCAAATTCATTCATTGTATTCGTATAGGGTCAAGGAGTGTAGTTGTAAAAAATCATCAAAATCGGAGTTAAAATAACGGTTAAATCATGATTTTTTGTTTTATAACCGTCGAAAAGTTTTGTTTTGTTCCTTGATCTCTGAATGTTTGTTTTTTGTGATTTTTTGCGTATGCAATCTCGAAGCATATACAAACAAGTTTGACGGTTGGATCGTTAAAATTAGTTTCATAGAATTCGTATCCCATCAAAACTATAGATTCACTAACACTTAGAGTTTATTTATACTTTCATTAAGTATAACATAAGATTTTGTGGTATCCACTTGTGTAAATATTTTAAATTGACGATCAAATTCATTCATTGTATTCGTATAGAGTCAAGGAGTGTAGTTGTAAAACATCATCAAAATCGGAGTTAAAATAACCGTTAAATCGTGATTTTTTGTTTTATAACCGTCGAAAAGTTTTGTCTCATTACTTGATCTATAAATGTTTGTTTTTTGTGATTTTTTCCGTATGCGATCTCGAAGCATATACAAACAAGTTTGACAGTTGGATCATTAAAATTAGTTTCATAGAATTCATATCCCATTAAAGCTATAGATTCACTAACACTTGGAGTTTATATATACTTTCATTAAGTATAACATAAGATTTTGTGGTATCCACTTGTGTAAATATTTTAAATTGACGATCAAATTCATTCATTGTATTCATATAGGGTCAAGGAGTGTAGTTGTAAAAAATCATCAAAATCGGAGTTAAAATAACTGTTAAATTATGATTTTTTGTTTTATAACCGTCGAAAAGTTTTGTCTCATTACTTAATCTCTGAATGTTTGTTTTTTGTGATTTTTGGTGTATGCGATCTCGAAGCATATACAAACACGTTTGACGGTTGGATCGTTAAAATTAGTTTCATAGAATTCGTATCCCATCAAAACTATAGATTCACTAACACTTAGTTTATTTAAACCTTCATTAAGTATAACATAAGATTTTGTGGTATCCACTTGTGTAAATATTTTAAATTGACGATCAAATTCATTCATTGTATTCATATAAGGTCAAGGAGTGTAGTTGTAAAAAATCATCAAAATCGGAGTTAAAATAACCGTTAAATCGTGATTTTTTGTTTTATAACCGTCGAAAAGTTTTGTCTTGTTACTTGATCTCTGAATATTTGTTTTTTTGTGATTTTTGGCTTATGCGATCTCGAAGCATATACAAACAAGTTTGATGGTTGGATTGTTAAAATTAGTTTCATTGAATTCGTATCCCATCAAAACTATAGATTCACTAACACTTAGAGTTTATTTATACTTTCATTAAGTATAACATAAGATTTTGTGGTATCCACTTGTGTAAATATTTTAAATTGACGATCAAATATATTCATTGTATTCGTATAGAGTCAAGGAGTGTAGTTGTAAAACATCATCAAAATCGGAGTTAAAATAACCGTTAAATCGTG